TATGCAATGCAGTTTTAGCTTGCTGGTGCCCAATTTAAATGTCTGTACTTTAGGACTTTCAGAGGCTCTGGAGGTTCTTCCTTTGTAACACAAGTTAAACACCTTCAGTCTGAAGCTTCATATTTAATAGAGAGGCGTTCAATGTTCTCATTTAATCCTGTAAAATAAGAACATCTTCAAAAATGTCAACATATGACATTTGTTAAAGGATTGGTAAGTACTTGGGTCAAATGCCTTATTCCTCATCATTAACATTGACTCTGAAGGTGTGTGTTCGACCTTTACAATACTTTATGAAAGGACAGATGCAGTATGACTGTGCAGACATTTGCACATCATACAAGCCTGCACTTACATATACAGTATGTAGGCAAAGTTACACAGCCACAGGAACTTAGCTCTTGCATCAGTTTCCTGTTGAAAGGCTGCATCACTTTAGTCCCAGAGCAAAAAGAAAAAGAAGCATCCACTACCTAACACAAGATATCTCAGGGTAGCATGAGGAGAATCATGAAGGGTCACCAGAGTTGAGGAAGTTCTACTTCCATACTGGCGCAAGTCTGGGATATTAATATCCATGTGAGGCAGATAAAATAGATGCCGCTCAGGCAGCTACTTCCTTCCACAGTACTGAACAACGCTGACACCAATGGCAGAAAAAAAAAAAAAGATTAGAGTTAAAAAAAAATTATGGTACGACTGTACTGTAGAAACTCATCTAGTCACTGCTAGTGTCTGTGCTAACCTGTCGTGCCTTGAAAACCTGAGAGGAAACACCATTAAGTACTGCACTGATTCCACCCTGTGCAAACACCGCTGAGCACAGTATCAGTGGGTCTAGCACGCTGTACACTTTAAAAATATATCCTTGCATTAGTGTTGTTTGGTCAGCCGCTGGGGGCTACTCTGAGGCCCTCAAGAGAGGTGACGCAAAGTCTTAAAGCTTTTTGTGTAAATTGAAACCGTGAATTCTATGGTCTACGACGAGGGGTGTGTAAAACAAAAAAAAAGTGGGGTGTTAAGCAACTGTGGTCAACTTCGCCATAGTGCTTAAAAACCCACACAACCCCCTTGTTATGCCTTTGCTATCGGCTTGTTTTCTAGTATGAACCACCTTTGACTTCTTTGGTTATACCACATGTAATTATAGGCAAAGAAATCAAAAGGGCCACTTTTTCTTCTACGAGGTACAAATCTTTGTTGTACAAGGTACAGATCTTGCGGTGTAAATGTGAATGTGATCCCTGATTTCTTGGAATGTCAGTTGGTCAGTTTAAAGTTTACACGTCATTAGATAAGAACAAAACTGTTTCGTTTCTAAAATTTGAAATGTAAAATCCTTGCATCTGCTCTGGCTGTCAGTGAACGCAGCACGGCCACTGGCTTACCTATGCGAGCTGTCTCTGCCTTGAGGGTGCTGAAGTCCCAGTTGCGAGGTAGTTTCAGAGACATTGTCCTTCATTCATGCCACGGGTCAGTGTTTTAGTTCGCACATGCACCTCGCCGGAGCACACACACACACAGACAGACAAACACACACACGCATACACACACTCAAACACACACACACACAGAGAAAGAGGAGATCTCGCAGATCAAACTTCCTTCTTCCTGTGTGTTAATCTTCTCTTTTTTTTTTTTTCAGCTGTTCACAACGAGTCCCCTCGGGTTGCCTTTACTTCCATGTTCTGGTAGCTTACAGCAGAAATGGCTTCCAGGTTGTTTCACTAAAAAGGTGCAAAAAGTTCCAGGGCTTCATGTAGTGGGGAACTCTTCAAGTGGCTAATGCTGGATGGTGTCACAAGAAGAAGAGGGGAGAAAAAAAAAAGCCACCGGCGTCTTCTTAAAGGAAATGGTTTGTACCTCTTGGTGTCACTCCCTTAGTGAGCATGTTGCTTCACAGCTCAGCCCTCACTGAAGCAAAAGTCAGTATTTACAGAGGTGTTGTAAATGCTGATTTTTACATCTAAGGTGAAAGGTTAGGCATCTCACACTGGCCCACAAAATACTCCCGACTGCACTGATGCTCACTTGTTTAATGATGGAGTAACTATTACACAGCTGGGTGTAAGGAAGTCAACTAAATGCAACTAAATGGGGAAGAAGCCCAAGAAGGAAGAAACCAGTCACGCAGTAACCACTTTTTTTTTTTTTTTTTTAAATACCTTTTAATTTTCTCTGAAACAAGACAAAGCACATTTCCGCATCAAAAAGAGTACAGCTTTTCTCTAGACAATGTACAACGCAACACAAACCATTGCACATTTGAATAATTATATAGTGAAATCATATAGCTGTATAATAACTTCAAACCACAAAATATAACACAAGGCAGGAGGGGAGTCTACACAGCATGTGGGACAGACACATCTCTCCCATACATTCCTTTTTTTATTTTTTTTATTTCAGAGACTCCTGACTGAGCAGGACGCAAAAAAGCAAAGTGGCACTGTCTTGATAAAAGTAGCACAGAGGCGTATCCAACTGTAGGTGCCCGAAAACAGGGGAAGAAGGAAAAAAAAACAACAACAAAAATCAGGTTTCCCTCTGAAAGTGGCATGATTATCTCTTAAAAATGACCTGCTTGTGAGCAAATCTCAACTTCAGGGGTTACTGGAATGTATCAAGCAGCAGTCAGAAAGGGTCAAACCCATCCACCCAGCACAGGAGCTCCAGCTCTCTCTAGTGGCCGTCTGCAACACCAGGCAGTGAAATGGCAGTACAGAGCTGCAGGCTTAAAAACTGTCGAAGGACAACGAGACCGTGAGGCTCAAAAAAACAAACAAAAAAACCCAACAAAAATCACAAGATATCTATTTCTGCTGAGACACTAGCTACCTGGAACCTACTAGAATGAGTTTCCACACTGATTCAAGTCACACTCCACGCAGAAGTGAACATACAACGGCTATCAGGGAAAAGGTTAAATAAAAACACCCAAATGTACTAATAAAGCCACAGCAAGAAAACACCTTTCTGTCATTTCTGCACTTTTTCCTATATGGCAATAATAATAATAATAATAATACTTTCAATATTACTCTAAGAAAAATACTAAAGAACACTCAAAATAGTCTTCCTAAACAGCCTCTTAATAAATGTATAATATAGTAACTTTCAAAACGGTTTGCTTAAATAAAACATCTTCAGAAAGACGGAGTAGCTGGATGCAGCACAGAAATCATGAATGGAATGACACAACACAAAGCCATGCCTGGGTTTACACAACGGCTCCTATGGGAAAAAAGGGGGACCCTTTTATAAATTGATTGCCGCAATCTAGATCTGGGTAGCAATAAAGTGCATTGCTTAAAAATATAACTTGTTTCTGGGGGGTGCGGTATCAGTTCAGAGGAAATTTAAGGTGAAATAAAGCAGTCGTTTACTGTATCAGCTGATTTGTATGGCTAGCATAGAGACATGCTGTCACACAGACAACATAAATATATATTTATATATAAATAATATAAATAGTATGCGTTTCTTACTCTCCATGATCATATCCCTGCTACACTGACTACTGCATGAATGTTCATATTGCTGTTTTGTCCTATGAGTAGACATGAAACAAAACAATGAATGTGTGCAAACACCATCCAAGTCTTTTGTCTACAAGGCTTCTCACCTGAACAATCACCGGTAATCTGAGTGGATTAATTTTCCATCTGTCTGTGAACTTTAATAACCCAGCACAGTGGAAGAAAAAGTGGAAAAGACGAGGATGAAACAGCCAGACAATTCCCACAAATGCATCTTAGCAGCGTATCGCTGATTTAAAGGCCCACTTTATTCCACCAAAATCTGTCTGCAGATTATGAAATGATCAAGAGCATGAGTCCGTGTGTGGCAGGTTTAATAAAAACAATGTGGTGGCCCTTAAACATCCCCAGATTGTGTGTGAAATCAGAAAAGAAGCCAGCTTTAATGAAGTCCCAGCTTTTATATTTTATCGTTAAATCCAATACACACACACACACTTACTTGAAAGTGGCAAAAATAAAAAAAATAAATAAAAAAAGCCGCCACTGGAAAAGGGAATGAACTGCAATACGTACACAATAACGGATTGTATTGGCCAAAGTTTCACCCAATGAGACGGCAACAGGCCACAAATAAATCAAGTTGATCAGTCAGTATCGATATGCCGTTTGTGCTGCGCTCAAGCGGTGAAAAACAGTGACATCACAGCACGCACAAGCAGCTGGTGGCAGTGTAGAAACCCTAACTGTGGCACTGTTACACATTCCAGCTGTCAGAGGGAGTAGCCATAATGCAACGATCCCTCTGTACCTTACAGTCAACAAGCAACAGACCACAAAAATAAAAACAAACAAACAAACATGTAAAACAAACGCAGCCAGCTCTATTTGTGACATCATTTCTGCTGAACAGCAACAAGATGATAACGTAGCTTTTATGCTCCGTAAACACAAAACCACTAACAGTTGAACTCAAAGACTTGATGGACCTAAAGTGGACCTGTCCTCCCTCCCTCACTCACATACATACATTAATAACCATGGCTAACCTTTCAAACATGAGGTCAGTGCATGTGCAATCTCTGGGAGTTGTCTGGCTTTAGAAAGCTTCCCCCCCATTCTTGGCTCAATGTGATATGAAGTCTGTTTATGCGCAGCAGCCAATCAGAACAAAGTTTAAAAAGGAAGGAAGCTGAAACAACTCGTTTCCGAAGATGAACTGAGGAGCTGCAGCAAGGCCCGGGGTAGGATATATAAGGAATTGTGAATCACATAAAGCTACCATCCAAGAGCTGGAACAAAGCATTAGAGGTCCCCTTCAAGTCTAATTTAGTCATTCACCTTTGATTTCGGCACAATAACGTCTTAAAGATTTGGCCAAGCATGAGAGGCTTTGATGAATGGCAGAAAAAAACAAAGACAAAAAATGTACATGGCAGATGGCGATGGTGAATTTAGCCTGACTTTAAAAAAAAAAGAAAGAAAGAAAAAAAGACATTAAGATATAATAGAACCATACCAAATATAAAAACATCTATTTATAAATAGAAAAACTCACAATAAAGAAAATTACCCTTAAATTAGAGGGAGGGTGCAGTAGAGTAAGAATACAGTGAGTAACAGCGCTGAGAGCAGTGCATTGAAATAATAAAAAAGAACAATAAAATATCGACACACATTAATAATAAGGTATATATAGAGGATATTGTGTGTACAGGTAGAAATGTACAGCAAACCAACATTTTGTTTAACAGTGTAACTAGATAGAGGTTGATGGTAATGGAAATGTGTAAAAGTACAGTAATTCACAAACTCAACCTGAAAACACTGGTGTCAGAAACATGATTCACAGACTGTAGGAACACAGACAAGCATGACTCCCACACCCACATGAAATGGAATGACCCAAGGCTGTCGATTTTGTGGTTTTCGGTTTGTTTTTCTTGGATGTGTTCTCGCTCACGCAAAAGCACTGAGTCTTCCCAGAGCTCCAGGGGTGCGCGGGGCTCCCTGGGTGCCGCTGCCCTCCTTTCCCGTCTCTCCCCTCCTCTTAGGGCGAGCCAGCTGCGGTTGTTGGCGGCTCTAAGCTGCGGCGGCCTCCTCCAGCGCTGGCAGCAGGCCTTTCTCGGTCAGGTGAGCCTTCAGGGAATTGAAGATGTAGAGCTGCTGATCTGGACGGAGGGCCAAGAGCTGCTGGATCACCTTGGTGGGGTTAGGGCCCCTGAAAGAAGGTGGAGAAATGCTTAGGCACAAATGTACTTAAAGTTTTATCCAGAAACCACTGCCTTTAAAAATAATTTCTAAGAAAAAAAAAGGTGGGGACACAACTTATAAGACTTATTTTAAATGCAGTACAGAGTGCGGACAGAAAAGCAGGTTTGGTGTAGGGAGGGAGTGGGTTGACTCAAAGCCTGGCCTCTGCAGTGGACTTTGGCTTATGGGTCATCTGCTCAACCAGTGGAAATACAGTGAGTTGGTTGATTAGTATGTTGATTCGAGACACGATGAGTCCTTCAGAAACTTGCAAAGAAACCACTAAACATACAATTATAGACCAACTAGCATATTTTATCTTTTATCAAGTATGACTTTTTTTAATTGTTCTGCAAAGATATTAAGGTTAACAGACAAATGAAAAAGTGTACATTTAAAGTAGTGATCACCCAATTTTTCTTTACCATGTTTATATGTAACAGGAGACTTATTCTATTCTGTACATACAGTAACAGGATATAAACAGTACAGTATGAAAACTGCACAGACCTATTGATTCATGTCAGGTGATGCAATGTGTTATGATCCATGCTCACTGTGTGATTTTTGGTTTGCCTCAGGATTTGTGTGGGTGTATGTGCAGAGAGTGCAGGGATGGAGTCTGCTGATTGGTTCAAGTCTCTGAACTGGACGCCATGATGGACACGACCACCTTAGAGTGTTTTCACACCTGTAGTTCTTTCTTTCTTTTTGTAAACTTGTCGTTTATTTTTTTCTTTTATTGTCTAGTTTGTTTTCACACAGAAAAATTTAACTGTGTTTAGCGAACCAAAACGTGTCCTACGAATCAGCTGAAAATGTTCAGTCTGCCCATAGGTCAGGTGTCTGGGGCAGGAGAAACAAAAGTAAATACAGCAAGAGGGTAGGGCTGTTCGAGATAACGATATGACGATATAAAAACGTCTATGTTTCATTTCACGCTATCGTTTGTTTCGTGGTGTCGCAAAATAAACTGTTTACAGCAATATTTTCTCATGGTTTTGATGGTCACTGTAGTGGCTATATTAATTTATTAAAGCTCTCTCTTTCTCTTATATTTAATATAACCCCACTAAGGATGGACAAGCGCCTGTTTTTATGTGTTGTCAATAGCAACAACGACAGTAAAACCATCGCGTGTCCGCTTGTTTATTTTCCACATTAACCTTTCACAATAAAGCTCAAGATCCTGTTGAGACTTTTCAAAATAAACAGAATCACATGAAAAAGTATGCACTGAGAACTGAGAATCAGTGGCATTTAAAAGTAGAGCCTGAGGCTTTGAAAACTTCCGTATCTGTCATGCAAATAGTTTTACTAAATACTGATTATACACTGTAAATACTGAGCACCTTATTGGAGATTAGTAGGAGTGAGAAGCGCTTCGTGTGAATGCGTTTGTCTTGTATTTTTAGAAGCTAAGAGTAGCAAGTTATTGTTTGCTGTTAAACATAGAGAGCTAACTGCACAGTACTGCTAAATAAGCCCACCTTAACTAATGTTAGCAGTCACTAAGACCACTGATTCTCCTCATATCACAGATAAATTCATAATTTCTCCTGATCTTCTGTTCCTGGTCTACTTATTAGCCCAATAGGCTACTAAATGTAAGGCTGTGGTCCATGTCTGCAACGTTCACCATATCCACAAAAGTTGAAACTGACAAATCAAGATTTGCAATTTCTCCTGGATGTGCCTTATTCAACCTCACTTCACAGAAACCATCCCTTCAGTCTGTGCAGACGGTGAACATTAGCTTACACTGAACTACTAGGTTTTATTACAAGCTTTAACGCTGCTTAAGCAACATAAAGAGCATGTAAAGGACAAAGACTGACAACAAGCAAGATGAAATACATTATATTATATTTTAAACTTCATAAATATATGCTTACCTAATGAAGCTAGCAATGTAGACATTAACAAATGTGGCCATGAGGTACTGGCAGTCAAATCTGTCCATAATGCCTCCGTGACCTGGGATGGTATTTGCAAAATCCTGAAAGATGACATACAAGCTTAAAGCTACAAAAGACATGACATTCTGTGCGTGTGTGCGTTTTTAAAAGCCTTGCTTATATGCTCTGTATCTCTTTCAGAGCCTACTCCGTGGTAGGTTCTTTCTCTTTTCCAAAAATGGCCCAGAACGAAGTGTCACAATGGCTTAAGAAACACAAACACTGCTTGATAATCATAGGCCACATCCAACTTATGTGTGGTGAATAGTTTCTGTTGGTCCACATCCATACCTTGATTTTGAAAGCTCTCTTGAAGCCGCTAGCAAAGAAGCCACCAAAGGGTCCCACGATGGAGGCAAAGGAGGAGAGGGCAATGCTGTGGATCTGGAATGGATACAGGCGCACTGTGGTCTGTGGAAACATAGGACACGTTACATCCAATCTTGTTGAAACTCACAACTTGGGCCTGACAGTTTTAATAAGATATTGCCTTATGTTTGCTCTAGGTGGGTATAAAACTTTGTATACTGTGTTTCAAGCTGTAACAGGCTGTAAGGTTTCCTTTAGCGCTGTTCAATAAAATTCTACAAGCTCTGCATACTTTTAATGTGTTGGTGAGAGGACTGTAAGAAGCCTAAATACTGGCACAGGATGAACCGCAACAAATAGCCACTGAATCTTACCCATCCGGTGACAGACTCCAGCATACTGGGGAGGAAGTAGTCCTGGAGCTGAAACAGCTCTGATGGCTCACAATCCACCTGGAAGCTGTTGGAATCGTTGTTGAACTCCACCGGACACACAAAGTAGCGATAGCCAGCCATGACGTAGGAGAGCTGTGAAGAGAGCAAAGTTATGCTTCAATCGTGTCACTTGTCACCAACTAACTGGACAGAGATCAGAACTGACTGCTTTCCTGTGTTCTCGGCCCAGCCAGTCAGCCTTCCCACATGACCAATTACAAAGGAGTTTGTGCATGCATGTGCACAGTGCCGGCACCAGTAACGCATTAATGTGTCATTAGTATGGAAACTAGACGCTGTGACTGGAGACAACAACAGCTACAGCAAACCCAGTATAAAACTACACTTAATACACCCTCACCCAGCTGAACATGGGCATTTTAAAAAAGCTACCAAAGCCAAAGAGGCTAAAGCTAAAGATATCCAGAGCTCAGAGCAATCAACCTCAGCGTGAGTCTCAGCCACAAACATTTGTGATGAGTGCATGTTTAATTAAGACAAACACATTGTGTTTGAAATGATTTGCTTCAGAGCTCATTACGCCCCGGAAATATGACACATACAGAAACTGAAGTGATGAACAATGATCCCCTCGAGGCCTACAGGTAAACGATGGGGTGGCAGCAGGGTTAGAACCGCAGACACCCACACAAGGAAGCAGTCGCAATGATGTTAGAGTGAGAGCTGAGAAGATGCAGCTTAAACAGGCATCTAAATCAGGAAGGTGCGGCTGGTATATGACATGAGGAGAGTGAGTTTTTCTGCCCTACACAGCTGATTTTACTCTATTTAACCATAATTCATTGTGAGATAAATACCACTTTGCATATTCAAGCAGCTCCTACAGAATGCTACACCGCTAAGAGCTAAAAGGAAAAAAATAAATAAATAAAATTCACATCCTACCATGATTCCAAAAACTATGGTGGAGAAGAATCCACCGATGAAGCCCTCCCAAGTCTTCTTAGGCGACAGCTGCAACAGCCAGTATCAAAGAAATCATACACCACCATACAGAGCACAACAGCCTTTAGGTGATTTGCTACATGCATCAATAATTCACAATAAACATTATATTAAAAACATTAAACATTTATATATTTGCATTCCATGTTTAAGCAGCTTCAAACGTTCAAAATAACCAACCTTGATAAGAGGGGTTCGCCCAAAGAAGAAACCAAACATGTAGGCCATGATGTCATTACAGATCACACAAGAAATGGGCACAATGAACCTGATCACACAAAGAACAGTTTACATGGCAGGTGTATGGATATTTGCATTAAGGTGCAAAATAACTGAATTTTAATTAGATTTAGAGAATTGGATAAGGAGCCTTTAACGTACCAGATCATTCCCTCAAACAGGTTGTGAATGATGAGGTGAGACTGGGTCACAACAATCAGGAGAGTCACATGGGTCCAACCAAACTGTGCAGACGGGCACAAGATCAATGACGTGTAGTTAAATTCATACATTTTTGGACAATGACACAGGCTCTGTAAATTTTGTTTATAATCAGTGTCACGCAGAAGAGTTTTATCTGTATTGATTGTTTAACTAGCGTTTCTCACTTGTTAGTCTATATAAGAGCATAACAGGGTACAAATATTTGTTATGTTTTAACCTTGTTGTGAAGCACTTTGTTTTAAATGTGCTATATAAATACAGTTGTATTGTATTAGTACCTGCTGGTCATGTTTTAGATGGTTTTTACAAGCCTTTGTGTTACCAAAAAAAACTGTTACTGTGTTTACATTCGGGTGTTTTTCTTAAGACCACTAGTGTTTCAACATAAACCTGCCCCACTGTAAACACACAGCTGTAAACACACAGCTGGATCCTTTTACTTTGGTACATCGACAACATTATTTCAACTATGGCTGCCCCTCCCTGAGCCTGGTTCTTCTTTCTGGTTCTTCCTGTTAAAAGGGAGTTTTTCCTTCCCACTGTCACCAAAAAAGACTGTTGGATTTTCCTCTGTATGTATTATTGGAGGGTCTACCTTACAATATAGAGCGCCTTGAGGCGACTGTTGTTGTGGTAAAACTGAACTGAATTGAACTGTGACAAAGACGTATTCAAGATATATGTTGCACTGATTGTTGAGGAAGCCTTTTTTTTTTTTTAACATAATTCAATATTTTTATTGATTCAACTGTAACTACAGCTATTCTTTCATTAGCTTAGATTAAGCAGGTCTGGAGATGATTCTACATGTTGGATTTGGCCTCCACAAAATGGAGGTCAAAGTTGCTCTCAATGCAAAGGAAACAACATTTCATAACCTGCCAACAGTAAAACAAATCTGACAGAAATAGCAGGCACATTAGGTATGGCCAAATCAAAGTGGAATGTACTAGTGGGGGTTTTTTCTGCAGGATCCGTCTCTGACCCAATTTCCCTTTTACTTGAGGGTTTATATTTTAGCTAGCCTCATGAATAAGCCAGTAGCCTTGAGGCAGGATGCACGGAGTATGCAGGGCAGCACTTACCATGTAAAACTGAAGGCGGTAATGTTTCTTCACCAAACTCAGCACAAACATACAGAAACCTGCAACAACAGGACGACTTATTAAGACACACAGACCAACAGCATCTGTAAAGAGGAGGAAACCTCCTTAAGGTCATCTTTGGTCAAACTGATTCAATCTAGCTTGACTTATTTCACAGCATGCCTACTTTAGGATGCAGTGAATATTTTTCTTTTACGTGACTGAGGAAACGAGAGGATGTTGTAAAGCAAAGAATATCTGAGAAAATGTGGCCTGAACGGAAGTTGACTCAGACATACTGACGCTGCTGGTTTCCTGGACTCTTCAGACTGACAGTAAAGCTTCTTCAAGCAAGACATTAAGATGTACAGGATGACAAAACTCTGCATTAAATGTCACTTCAAATCACGAGCTTCAGAGCATTTGTGCTCAAAGTCATAACGAGCCATTCAATTGCACCTTAAATCTAGTAGGTAAGACAGTCTGGGTGCTTCCTTCCTCCCCACATCCTGTTTGGCATCAGCAAGAAGCTATAGTAGTAATGTATTACTAACTGACAAAGAAGTACAGGAAGTGGAACATCTAAAGTTAGCATAGTAACTGAAACAATAAGCTTTGAACTAACCAACATATAAAACCTTGAGACTCATTTTTCCATCAAAGCATGCCTGTGTGCTTCCACCAATCAGTCAAGTCCTAGTTTACATCACTTGAAACTCAAATAACATAACTGAATAATATGATATGTATTAATATATAAATTCAGTGGTTATAACCAAAAATACCAAATTTGAAGAAACAACCTTGAGAGATATCTGAAATAGAATTACAACACACACACACACACACACTAAATATGTACACAGCTTATTGCAACTCAGATTCCTCTTTCATCTCTAATGTATTTATCAAATGCAGTATTCATAACTGTTTTTATTCTATTTTTAAAATGAGCATTTTTTCTATTTATATATGTGGGTTTTTCTGTTCGGCATCTGTTGGTGATAGTAAAGGAACAATTTCATTGTACAGGGAAACATTTTTCTTTACTGTGCATACAACAATAAAACTTTGAACAGTTGAATGACTCATGGAAATATTACTGATTGTAAATGTATTTTGTTGAGTCAGACTGACCAATCACTGACATCTCTTAAAAGAAATTTGACACTTCTGGTTGCTATGACAATGTAAACTGCATCTAATGTCTGTTTATTGATTGTGCACTTATCTCATGTTCAGCAGTTTGTTTTAGTGTAATAAACATTTATTATAAGTCATTACTGAATAACTTGGAAGAATGTTTGTTGTGGGCAGCCGGCATGATGACGTTAACACAGAATCTACAGCAGGACTTTGTGTCTTTCTACCTGTGAGGTAGAGCGCGAAGGAGATGAAGCGGTGGTATTTGCTGAGGATGCGAAGGGGTTCCTCCCTCTGAACCAGTGTGAAGAAATAATCTGTCACGGTCTCACCATAGAAGAAGTAGTTCACACACAGCAGGAAGTACCTGTAATTCAAAGGGTTAGAATAAATGTACGCAACTGATGGTGTTGTCACAGCAGCTAATCAGACTCTGAATTCAATATGCCAGCGGGGGGAAAAACACAAATACAAATAAATCAACAAGGCTGACTAACTTCTCTTCATGAAAACTGCAGACAGCTAAAAGTTTACACCTGTACATGGAGAACAGTGTTCCAAGGAGTTTGAGTTTCCTGGCATAGTGAATATCAGGATTACACTACACTATAAACCACTACTGCTACAAATCAAACAGCACTGATGATTCATTGTAATTCTGCTATAATATACAGTGGGGCAAAAAAGTATTTAGTCAGCCACCGATTGTGCAAGTTCCCCCACTTAAAATGATGACAGAGGTCAGTAGTTTGCACCAGAGGTACACTTCAACTGTGAGAGACAGAATGTGAAAAAAAAAAATCCATGAATCCACATGGTAGGATTT